ACAGATAGCTGTGTATATGTATACACATTTATACAAATATATATTTATACAGATAGATAGATAGATAGATAGATAGATAGATAGATAGATACAAGAGAGAGATAGACCCAGGAAAAGCATTATGAGACAAAATGACCTCCCAAATACCCATTAGTTAAGTTCTGTGTTGACCACCTATTGCTAGGTATGGGACTTCACTTGAGTGTGGTTTGTGTATCTACTGAGACTCCACTGAAGAAAACTAATTTTTCCTTTGTGAGTGTTTGTCACTTGGAGATAACGTCTTGGTTAGAGATGGGGTCCACTTTCCCCTCTCAGCACTGAGGCCCTTCTTGGCTTCAGACCTGTGCAGGCCCTGTGCATGCTGCCACCATTTCTGTGAGTCCATGTGTGTGTCAGTCCTGAAATCACTACTAAAATAAGCTCATTTGACTTTTTACTAACATGAGTGAGAAGAAAGAAGAGTGATTTCCTGCTTATTGGAGCCCTGAGCACACATGTACCACGGATTCAAAAGGCCATGACTAGTACGTGCACACTGGAACCCAACATCCTGAAAAGCCCTTCCTGCCTTCCTTTTTGGCCTTGTCATTTATACTCATACCATTTTGACATCCAAATACTCCTAAGCATTCCCGTGTACATGTGAGAGAATCTCAACTCTCTGAACCCTAAAATCTGAACAAGCCTGGCTTTCTCAGAAGCATCTACACCAATCCACACCCCGGTTCTCTTCTGAGAGTTCTCCCAGTTGTTCCTGTTACTTGCCAATGCTCTCGCGGACCTCCATCCTTGTGTGTTTCTGCACACAAGATCTCCTGACATGGACCCTGAGAGGTTTTATTTGCCTTTACACATCCCAGCCATTGATCCAAGTCTATCTCATTATCATCTCCTTTGAGGAGTCTTTCCTTTGCTTTTTTGGTACAGATTTGTAAGTGGCTCATGGAACCAGTGTCCTCGAAGCACTTGTCTCACACAAGAACATCCATTTCTTTTCCACATAATTGAATTCCCAGTCCTACAAAGTCAACTTCCCCCAGCACAGGCTCGGTTTTTGCATGTCATACCCCAAGAGTGTTTCAAAGTTGCACAAAACTAAACTGACTAGTTTAAGTCAAAAACTGAAATTCTAGTAGCTTAACACCTTGGAGGTGAAGGACAGTCCCATGAATGACATTGCCAATTCATTCTTCACATCACTGCTCAGAGTAAAACAGTTTCCAATATCCTTGATCAACAAGGAATGCCACAATTTTGACATCTCTACCTCATCCATGCTCACTTTTTTAATTCAAAATTTTTATACAGTTTTAAGGGGTGTTGGTTTTTGAGACAAGATTCCTATATGTGGCTTTGACTGTCCTGGAACTAGCTGTGAAGACCAGGCTGGCCTCGAACTCACAGGTCTACCTGCCTCTGCCTCTCAAGTGCTGGAATTAAAGGCATGCACCACCACTGCTTAGTTATCCATTATTTTTTATCATATTCTTTCTCGTCCCCCCAACTCCTCCCAGATTCTCCCCACTTCCCTAACCATCCAACTTTGTTTTTTCTCTCTTCCTGTCTTTCTTTCTCTGTCTCCCTGTCTCTCTCTTTATCTATCTATCTATCTATCTATCTATCTATCTATCTATCTACAAAAATTGATTTCAAAACAAAGCCAGATGGTGGTGGCACACACCTTTAATTCCAGCACTTACTTGAGAGGCAGAGGCAGGCGGATCTCTGTGAGTTTGAGGCCAGCCTGGTCTACAAGAGCTAGTTGCAGGACAGGCTCCAAAGCTACAGAGAAACCCTGTCTCGAGAAACCAAAAAGAAAAAAATCAACACAAACAAACACATATATTCAATTCATTTTGTTTTGGCCAATTATTCCTGGGTATGGGGCCTGCCTGGAGTTTGGTTCCATGCTCATTTTAGGTGAGGAAATCGTATACAGGGATATTAAAAAAGCTCATCAAATTTTGTAAGTTAATCAATAGCTATAATCGTGATGAACTTTGTCTTACTTTTCACAGGTTAACATTTTTGTTAGTCAGAGAAAGTTAATCACTACTTCTTGGAAATAAAAATTAATTCAGAGAAACCAGGTAAATGAAACTCTGCCAACTTTTCTAAGGTAGGATTTTTTAAAGCAAGTTCTGAGCTGGGCAGTGATGGCGTACGCCTTTAATCCCAGCACTTGGGAGGCAGAGGTAGTCGGATCTCTGTGAGTTCTAAGCCAGCCAGATGTACTGAGCTAGTTCCACAACAGCTAGGGCTGCAAAAGAAACCCTGTCTTGAAAAACAACCAAATAAATCAATAACTACAAGGACTCTTTATGGAGCCTTGGCTGTCCTGGAACTATGTAGATGAGGCTGGCCTCCCAAGTGCTGGAAATAAAGGTGTGTGCCACCACGGCCAGCTTTCAGACAAGAATTGAATGGTCAATTTCTTCAATGAGCTGTGTCTCATCTTGGGAATGGAAATGCTATAATGAATTTCATCTACTAAAAGCCTAAACGCAAGACTTACCTGCCATTTTGTCCGATACATGCATGTTTCCACTGTTGCCCGGGTTTGTTAAGTAAAGATTATGTAGGGCCACTGTTTTGGATTTAGAACCTGCATGAGGTTTCAGGAGCCATGCCATAGCAAAACGCAATCACTCTTTCGAAATGTCTCAACTGAGGGGAAACTTTAAGGAAGCAGATAGATCTCAACAGCCCAGCTTTTCCAGAAAATCCGGGGTTATAGTTGACTTGAGTCTTTCAAGATAAGGAAATCTCTTCTACTTATTAACTCTTACTAAGACTACTCTAAAGGCATTTGATGCTATCTAACTCTGTGTGTGGGTGCATGTGTTTGTATGTGTATGTGTATATTTATCTGGTCTCAATTTCCATCTTACAAAAACCAATGTTTTGCTATTGCACAGTGCAAACCTTTATGCTATTTTGTAGGAAAAAAGCTGTCCCAATTCATGAATCACAAATAAAAGTCAATTATATTGATTACTGCATCTGTTGCTTTTACCTCTAGGAAGTTCTAAGAATTTTGTCATGACTTTTTTTCTAGCCTGAATTTATTGCAACCAAACTCTATGGAGTAGTATTGTTCAGCCTGAATTCTCAATTTTGCTGCTTGTTGGGCAGTCCTGTTTAGGCCTCTTTGTACAGATTTCTTATGCAAACCTCTACAAATGTGGGTGGGGAGGCATTAGGTGATATAACCTTTAAATTACATAGTCTTGTCTTCCTAACAGCATCTTAAGCATACCCTCATTCTCCTTGATACAAAAGGCAAAAGAATTACCCAACACTTCAGAGTTTCCAGTGCAGAGACCTGGCCAACAATAATGAACTTGAACCCTCTACTATCTGAATTTCAACTCAACAGCCTTACAATGAGAAATAATTGTGTGGACTGCACATGCATGTGCACGCATGCACACACACACACACACACACACATTTGACCCCCATCACTATAAATCAGAGATATAAAATGTTATTTTCAGACATTTGCCTTTCTTTTACCCATATCAGACACAATTAATTGATCATAGAATTTTTTTTCTTTTGGGTGTAAAGGATACATTATTTCCCATATTAAGTTATTTAGTCAACCAACATGGATAAAATTCTTTTGTAGTGACAGACAGGGAAAGATAATCAAAATGCAACTTTGAATTAAGCCAGGCTATTGAAGGTCTAGGTACTCAGCTGAAGTGGAAAGTTTGGACAATTCCTGAATTTCATTTATTGCAATTTTGGCAACAGCTTACATTAAGGGGGTCCGGGGATCACTATCTGTGGCCCCTTCTTTCCACTTACCTTGCATCGTCATCATGAGTTATGGTTTAGAGGCCTTAAATGACTTTGTTTTCTCTGCCAGTTAAGGAGTTAAAGGGCAGCGAAAATCTGCAGGGCATTAGGAGAAGACAGCAGCAGACAAAATCAGCTGGCAAAGAAAGGGCTTTTTATTGGAGGTGAGGAAGTACACGCACACACACAGAGCACACACACAATGCACACACGCAATGCACACAGAGAAAAAGATTCTCTGCAAAGCAGTGAGGAGACGTGGGAAACTGAAGCCCAGTCTGTATTTGGGGGAAGGAATTTTGAAGGATCTTTTGAGGGGGTCTTTCTCCCCCAGTTTAGGAATGGTCAGTTTGGACAAAGGCAGGGAGGCTGATGGGTCCACAAGGCTGGGGTAAACAGGTTCTGGTTTGCCCTTAATCTTGTTGGACTGGAAGAGGGCCTTACCAGACCTTTTTGTTCTCCATACAGGGTCTCTCTATATAGTCTTGGATGGCCTGGGGCTCGCTATGTAGACCAGGTTGGCCCCAAACTCACAGAAATCCACCTCAGGCCTTTGTTTTAAGCTGCCAGTCTTTTGTCTATAGTGAGGAAGAAGGTGGGGAAGAAGACAGACAGGGAATGGGTTTAGCTCCTGAGCCCCAGCAAGTAATCGGAAGTTTCCCTCAGGGTAAGAGTTAAGAAGTGTTTTTCAAAACCCAAATCTCGATTGGTTTTTATGAATATTATAAAAGCGTAAAATAATTGTCATTTTTTCTGCTTTGTGGCCCTTTAGAGGCTTAGATCCTCACCTACTTTCCACCTTCAGATACTGTTCTATATCTGATGGTTTGCGGTTGGATGCCTTAGTTATTCTCCCTCAGTAAATTTTTCCTCCAATTCTTAATATTTCTCTTGCAGAATGTTGTGTATACTTTAGTAAGTTGCTTCAAATTATTTCTGGAAGATGAAAGATAACTAATGTTATCAAAATTAAAGCAATCACTTATACAGGGTGAGGAACTTAGGAGGTGCCCCAAGAGGTACCACAAGACAGTACGCATGCGTGGTAGAGAGGGCTCTAAAAGAGAACCCTTCAGCTTGAGAGGACAGCTCTGATAGGCCAGCAGGAGTGTCTTAAGCGGACTTGCTGGAGCGATGTAAACCAACTAAGTTTGGGTACCATGGAAACGGCCCCACCAGTAAGGGGACGCAGATGGTGCAGCCCAGAGGAAGAGGCGTGGCCTAGGCTTCAATTGAACCGTGAGGGCGTGGTTACGGATGGAGGCGGGCTGGTGGCGTGGGCGGGGCGCAGAATTAGTTCGAGTGTGAGAGAGAGCGGCCGCTGCCGGAGGACGAGGGCGTGCGCAGTTCAGTTCCTGGCTGTGGTCAGAGTCCCGTCATCGGTATACCTGCGGAACAACGGTGGAAAGCCGGCGCCCAGCGGGCCGGATCGCTAGGGCGAGGGCTGCCGCGGGGCGGGACTTCCGGTTTATCAAGCGTGCTGGCCAGAAGTCATGAACTCACGTAGCGTTGTGACGTGAGGGGGTGTATCCAAGATGGCTGCGCGCATGAAATAGTGTGCCGGGAGTCCTCGCGGAGATCGATCCCGGTAGGTGCGGGCGACTCCTTGTAGCATTAACAACAGTGTAACATGGCCTGTCTGAGAGGACAAGGACTAGCCCCTGGCTCTTACACTATCGCGCGCTACCGTGGACCGGAGAGACCCCACGGTAAGATGTAGGTCCCCAGTATAGCGGAGGTCCTACTGAGCAAGGAAGGTGTGGGGTGTCGATTGGCCGATTATCAATGCTCTCTCTTCTATAAAAGGTCACCAGATGACCTCTGAGGATGGTTTCCACTTACGAGGTGAGGAGACCGCATCTCTAGAAACTGACGCTGCAGAAGCTGAAACTTCTCCGGATCCGCGTTATTGATATCCCGACTGCGATACTCACCACCATCTCCAGGGTAGGCATCGGCAGCACAGCTATGCCTGGAACACAAGTTTGAACCTTTCCACGACTCGGTCTCTTACGTCCTTTTTCTTTTGTGCCCCTACCCCAGATCGAGAGAAGAGGAACTTCCAAATAACGGGGACTGGGATCCGTGTGACAGCCGGCGTTAAAAGTTACTGGGCCGAAGCTGCTGGAAACTCGTGACTGTACTCTCCCTCGTTTGTTTATAACTGAGAGAGCTTGAGAAATGCTTGGCTGTGTACACCTTAATTAGGCTAGTCTCTTACGTATCGCTCCAAAGGCCGCCGTTGCTTTTTCTCCTGCTTTCTTTGCTCTCACTCTGCCAGTCTCCCTTCTAGTCGAAGGTTTTGCTGATGTGTGTAGAACAATCCGAAATCCCTAGTGAGCAAGGCAGTCCTGTGCATCTCTCGGGGCAAATGCACCCAGGCTGCTTGGGAGCCCACTGTGAACCCAGGTTCACCCCACTCCCGGTAGCTATTCTGCAGTATTTTGGAAACGAAAACTTCCCCGTTGTTTTTCTCCTTTCAGGTGTTTTAAAGTCCGAATTTCGGGAATCGCCGAAAGCAACAAGAGCCCAGGTCTCTGCCTTTCCACACCTGCGTTGCTTTCAGGAGCCGGACAGTGGGCCACCATTGCTTAGAATTGGACCGCAAATTGGTCAAGTACATTGCAAGTGGAAGTAAGTGTGAGGGAAATGACGAAAGTGCTTTGCTTGCGGTCCTCTGCCACAGGTCAGACGTCTGCCAGCAGGAATGCGGAATGGGGCTTCTCTGAATTGTTCGTGGGCAAGGTGAAGAGAGCGCCTGCTCTTACAGCTCCAGTTGGACTTGGTTTGTCCTCCCTGGACAGTTCCACATAATTTCCAATGTCTGTTGTTGACAGTTACTATTTTTCTGCCCTAGTGTTTTAGGTCCCTGCATGTTATTTGGTATCTGCTTAGCATTACAAGAGGAAGGGGTGACAAGCAGCCTAAAGATCAACCTTGAAGCAAAACTCTCTGCAAATTATTGTGAAGATGGAGTCTGGTTCAGAGGTCCTTGCCAGCAGGGCTCTCGAAGTCTCTGTCCCTAAACTTCTGACCTGGAACTGAGCCTGTGAGTACTGTAGTTAGTTCCCTTGGCAGAGCCAAAAGGCTTATTGGGTTTATAAAAGTCTCGTGCTAAACATACATACTTAGGGTGATGTTGATACTCTAGCTGGGGATTATATGCCTGATGAACTGTGAGCATGACTAGTATGCACACAAAAGTACCCCCCGTTTATAAAGTTGTAGCATATTGTAATTATGCCATGAAGAAAGCGGACAAGAACTACAAGCAGTTTCAAGTATCTCAGAGTCTAGTCTATCCTGTTTGAAGTTATCATTTTGGTAAGGTCGATCCATATACTGCAACTTTTTTCTCTGGATCTCAACTTGTTCAGAGTTTGGATTTTAACGTTGGCAAGCAGTTCAGGGTTAATTCTTTCTGGCCAGTTTGTAATTGTGTGCCCTACTTTAAACATGGAAACCCGGGGGAATTAGTAGATGTTTCTTCACATCCCTCCATGTTCTTTTCTTGGAAATTAAATCCAGGTCATGCTAACGCCACACAATAGACGTTTTCTTCTATATCTATTTTGAATTAAGTGTGTATGCCTGCCTGTCTGCCTGTGTGCTTCTGCTTGTGTACACTAAGGTCAGAAGAAGGCATTAGGTCACCTGGAGCTGGAGTCACGTACAGTTGTGAGCAGCCTGATGTGCACACTGAGACTCGAACTTAGCTCTTCCTTGACCTTGGAGCCATCTCAGCCTCAGGAGGTGATTATTCTCAATTGTGTGCTGCCCTGAGCACTGAGCTGTTGAAGGGCATTTCTGACCTGTGGGTAGCACCTTCCCCAAAATGATCACATTCAGAATTGTCTCAAGACGTTTCCAAATCTCCCCTGAGCAGGAGAACAAATAATTTTGTTAAAAGCAAAACAAAACGCTGAGACAAGGATAAGCGGGTACACACTTAAACTTGTATGTATGTGAATGGTGATGAGTTTAATGAAATGGCTAATAGCTTTCAAGCAGTTAATATATTTCCAGTACTAACAATGAATTTGTGTTTTCAAGCATTGCTCTGCTTTATGAGTTCATGTTTTTCCTCTTTGCAGTTTATTAATGTAGGAAAATTAGTTCATTACCAATTTTAGTTACACTTGATCCTTGAGAATTCTATCATGAACATACTGTTACTGTCAGTTTATTTTCTTCAGCATTGATTGTGGTCTCATTAAATGAATTAGCCTTGACCAAAACAATTTCTGACTGCTGTTTATGCTTTCATTCTACCTAGGTTATTTAGGACACTGGTACTTCATGTTCTTAGGCTTAAACTAGAAAAAGTCATATTTATCTAGTTACTAATGTTTTATATGAGTGAGGAGTCCTCTTGCTCTGATTTTTCGTTATTATTTGTTTTTATTTATGGAAGTTGAAAGCTAAAGGCTGAAGTCAGTATGCTCATATTAGGATTGTTTGCTGGGTTTAGTCCCAACCTAGAAGACAAAAGTACTGGCCCATGGAGTTACTTGACTAACTCTCCATGTTGTATTTCATGTTCACGTTTCTAAGTTGTTTTAAAAATTAGGGCACAGGGCTGGAGAGATGGCTCAGAGGTTAAGAGCATTGCCTGCTCTTCCAAAGGTCCTGAGTTCAATTCCCAGCAACCACATGGTGGCTCACAACCATCTGTAATGGGGTCTGGTGCCCTCTTCTGGCCTGCAGGCATACACACAGACAGAATATTGTATACATAATAAATAAATAAATAAATATTTTAAAAAAAAATTAGGGCACAGTTGCCTTGATTTAGCTTTTAGAATGTTACACTGTCTAACCTGTTACGGCTTTTGCTGCTCTTCTGAGTGTATGTCCTTTTGTGATAACCCACCCCTCCACCTGCCTAGTTTCAAAGACAATACTCATTGTTTCTGGCAGTTTCATGAGCAAGGAAAGACCTGGTGGACACTCAAGACCAAGAATGCTCAAGAATGCTGAGCCTTAAAGAAAGGTAAAATGCAAACTCCTTTGCTAGTTCCTACAACACAGAACTTAGCATGGACTGCTGTTTCTAGTAAGAGGGCTGCCACCCGATCTTTAACATTCTTCTTCAGATGTTTAAATCTGATTTGTTGGAAGCAGCATCACTGAAAGGTGGAGCTTTTTCAGAAACCAGCATTTCAGGGCACCCTTGAGCTCTGTGTTTGTACCTTTGCTGGCTGGAAGTCATCTTCGACTATGAACTAAGATAGCTGTCTGCTGTTTTCTTAGACAGCAAGCTGTAACTGTTGACCCTTCTGACTTGTAATTTAACAGCTTGTACATGTTAGTGACTTAAGATGAAAGCAGCCAGAGCCATTTAGTGTATTATCTAATGAAACTGCCTAGTCACCTAGAAAAGAAAGGAGACATGAGGTCCTAAACTATACAGGTGGAATTTTGTTTTGCTAATTCTTAATGAGATAAAACAGATGTGAGCTAGAATGTTATTGCAGTAATTCGTAATGCACATGATCTCTGTACCTTTAGAAAGATGTGAAACATGGCTTATACTTGGTACCTGCAGTACCAAGGCCGGAGTTCTGAGACATTCTGGGCTACATAGCTATGAGACCCTGTCTCACACAAAAGAAAATAGATAGATGTGAGTGGGGCTCTCTGAAATGTAGCCACAAGTCACTTGTTTGCAAATAAATTTTAATTTCATTAAACTTTTATAACTGACTGTGCCTACTCCTTGCCATATTTATATTGCATATTTTTAATCTTCAGAGAAGGTTGTATCGGATAACACTGCCCAGTGTTGTGACTGTATCGCTGAGTCTCCTAGTTTTCCAGTTAATTTGGAAGGCCATCAGACATGGAGAACTATAGTATTAACAGACTTGTTTTGCTAAGTCTTCACAAAGAATTTTCATGGAGGACAGGATGCCCAGAGTCTTCTTTCATTAACTTTCCAATAACCTTAAACAGTGGCTAGATAGGAACCCCTTGGAATTTGTTGAGTTTAAGGCTATCTCAGTTCCCTGGGACTAACAAGAAGCCCTGGAGCTAAACAAGGAAATGCAGGCTTCGTTCCCTGTACTAATCATGGCTTGTAATTCCACTGTTTAGTCAGTTCAGCCTCAGCATTTCCCCCCCCACAACCCTGATAATCCAGCAGGTCAACCTGTGCTCCTATGACTGTCATTAATGCCTTAAGGAGAGCCTGTCTGTGCATCCCTGCAGTAATGTCCTATGGAGAGCCTGTCTGTGCATCCCTGCAGTAATGTCCTATGGAGAGTCTGTCTGTGCATCCCTGCAGTAATACCCTGTGGAGAGCCTGTCTATATATCCCTGCATAAGGCCTTATGGAGAGCCTGTCTGTGCATCCCTGCATAAGGCCTTAAGGAGAGCTTATGTATCCCTGCATAAGGCCAAAGTGTATGAAGATGGTCTTCGGTTCTGTAGGAAATGCACAGCCCTCAGGACAAAGACAGGCTAGAAAGCCAGTGAGGGTGGAGAGCAGTGCTGCCCAGCAGGTCGGGGAGAAGCCACAAGGATCATTCTCAGTTTCTAATAGGTTAGGAAAGGAAAAAGAAAACTACTAATTTTAGTGATTTTTTTTAATAATTCATTTATTTTTATTTTATGTGCATTGGTGTTTTGCCTAAAGTGATATTCTTGTGAGGGAGCTAAATTCCCTAGAATTAGAGTTACCGACAGTTGTGAGCTGTCATGTGGGTGCTGGGAATTGAACCCTGGAATGGCAGCCAATGGTCTTAACCACTAAACCATCTCTCCAGTCCCCTAATTTTAGTGATTTTGTTGTTGTTGTTTGTCTATTTTTTTTTTTTTTTTTTGCTTTTTTGAGACAGAGTCTCTCTGTGTAGCTCTGGCTGTTCTGTAACTTGCTCTGTAGACCAGGCTGGCCTCAAACTCACAGAAATCTGCTTGTCTCTACCACCCAGGTGCTGGAATTAAAGGCATACACCACTATCACCCAACTCGGCTCTTTTTGCCAGTTTTAACAGAGACCTTATTCATTGGCTCTGAATTCTGCAGCTCTCCGTTACAATATGCCAGAGGGGAAGATGTATGGTCTCTGTGACAGGCATCTTTGAAACAAAATCAGGAGCTGGGTGTAGTGGCATTGGAGAAGCTGAGCGAGGGGTTTAGGGTTCAAGGCCAGCCTGGGAACAAGAACAAGACCCTCTCTCAAAAAAGAATCAGAGTCATTTGAAGAATTTCTAAAAAGATGTCCATTCTGATCAGATTATACTATTCACGATAGAATGCCATTTAAAATTTGTGTTCTAGTTGGTTTCTGAAATACAAAGCTCTCTGAAGAGCAAGTTATTGTATACTGAAAAAAATGAAAGCAGTGACTTTAGGTCTCTCAAGAGATAAAAAGGACACCAGAATACCGTGTCTACCGTGGCAATAAAAGTCTGTTTTCAGAAGCTGCCTCCAGTGCCTGCTTTGCCAAGTTCTAACTCAAAAAGTAGCTTTTTCTTTCAGTCTCTTTTTGGATGTTGCCCAGAAGCCTGGGCACGCTTTCCCTGCTACTTTGGGCTTTCTTACTCTTTCTCGGAAGGCCCCGCCCCACTTTCTAATAGGAACATACTGCTCCTAGGCTAACAGTTCAGCGGTGCCCCGTTTTCAGCGATAGGCTTCTTCTGTTTAGTAGTTCTTCTTTCTTTTATGTTCCCATATTATAATCCTATGATAAAACTTTCTAAATTAAAAAAAACTCATTTTTCATAGATCAAGATTTCTCAACTGTGGGACTCAAAATTTTGGGCTGGAAAATTGTGGGATTGCTCTGGTCAGTGTTCCTGTATTGCGCAGCATCTCTGGCATTTATCCACTAGATGGCACTGCTGCACCTTTACTTGTAATAGTTCAACTGTTCTATGAAGGCCAGATAGCTTTTTCTGTTGAGAACCACTGGTCTAGACTTTTCTAAGAGGGTTCAGTGTCAGTGTTGCCCGGATACTTGTATCCACCTCCACCTCCCAACACACACACACAAAGAAAAACAAGGGTTTGATTTTGAATTTATACTTGTAGTGACTAAAGCAAGAGAATCATTTCTTTGAAGATGAATGAGAATAAGCCATTTTCTGTTTCTGTGGAAACAGGAGCTTTCCAGGCTCTTCATCTTAGTTTACCTGTATTTCAGAAGAAATCAGAAATTGATGGGGAAAAATTTATTTGTAGTTGGGCAAGTGTTGAGTTCTAAGCTTATTTTAGGCACTTTTACAACCCGGAAGACAGATTCTTGGGAGTGGTAATTTTATTCAACTCTAGGCTTGGGAAAATGGGGTAGAGACCACATGCTTCGCAGAAAAGCAGTCCCTGTTTTCCTAGGGAGCCACAGATGCTGGGTTTTTCTAGGGCAGTGGGTGGAAAACTTCTACTCTTAATGCCTTTTGTTCTCCCATAGAGAGATTTGTTCCTCCTTTTCTGCAGTCTGGCAGGCCCCAGGGATGTCCTGCAGCCCTATTAACATACTAATAGGTGAAGGAAAACTGTCTGCTGGAAGTTAGGGCCCAAGTGGGCAGGATTAGTTTGCAAGTGAACCATGGTGGTAATCAAGACTTGCAGGCTTTGTTTACTTTGCATATTAATGCATACTTTTTAGTCTGTTCTGTTACCTACTAGTTTAGTTTCCTTCCTGCAGCCATCTTAACAGCTTTCTCATTTTCTCTACTCTGTGTGTTTTACATCATCTATCTGTCCCTTCGAATCCACCCTCCGCCCCTGCACATCCCCCAAATAAAACAAAATTTAAGGGAAAAAGGAAAGAGAAATAAAAGGGGGAGAACTTAAAAATCCTGGATATCCTGTTGTTGCCCTGCGTTGTGGAGAGCCTGCACCTTTGTGATTTATAGTAAGCCAGGAGACATAGGCTAGGATATAGACACGTGCTAGCTCTCAGGTGGCTTATCCGGTGGGTTAAAAAAAAGAAAAAGGAAAGGACACGACTGCAGCTAGGTTTGGTGGAGGAGAAAGTTTACTGCAGATTTACATAGGGGAGAGCATAGTCAGAAGCAGGGGTATCTGGGAGAGTCCAAAGTGAACATGATCAGACTGAGCTGGGCCATGTGGGACGGGGTGGGGGGAGGATGGGGGGAACCAGGTGCAGCAGCCAGGAGGCCAAAGGTTCCAAAAGGGTGGGTAGCCAAATGTCTGGATTATATGGGGAAGAGCCTCTGGGGGCAAGAGCAGCCCAGAGTTCATGGTAGAGGGTGGGGTATGCCAGCCATACTCTATAACAGGTAGGGACTGAAGGATGCTGGGAGAACCTGGCAGCCAGGTCCGCTTTGATATGTTTGAAACAACCCTGGGTGTAAGGGAACGGAACCTCAGGTTGCTTCCGTTCTGTTATAGAGATAATTTTTCTTTAAATCTGAGCTGAGGAAAACGAAGTCTGAATGATACTGCCCTCCCCTCCTCCATTTTTAAAAGAGAAAAGTCTGGCTTTTTTGTGGGGGGTGGGGCATAAGATCCCCTTCCATTGTAGGCCTTGCCAAGTTCTTTGGGCCTAGGTGTTTTGTCTTTGGTGACCAGCTTCCTTGTGAACTCCTGCTTACCTGTAAAGGTTCCGCTTCTCCAAGTGAGAAAAGATTAATCTAATAGCAGGGCCTACTGTCTCTCTTTAGACCCATGATACTCAACCTGTGAGTCGTGACCCCTCTTGGGGGTCGCCTGAGACCATTGCAAAACACGGATATTTACATTGTGATTCATAACAGTAGCAAAATACAGTTATGAAGTAGCAACAGAAGTAATTGTATGGTTGGGGACCACCAAACACAAGGAGCTGTATTAAGACTAGTTCTTCTACCTGGCCCCCCCCCCCCCCCGCCAAGGCTTTGACAGAGAAACACTGTTCTAGGGATTTGACTTTGCCACAACTACATTTACTGTTTAAAATCCGTAGACTCGGTGATGGGACTTAATACAGAACTCTGGTCATGGTCAATAACTTCTGTCCATTTATGTCTCCTACTTTTACTCTTGGCCCTGATTCTACCCATCCGTGATATTTCTAAAAGGTAAAGACCTGGACCTTTGTGGTAAGGGACTTGAGGCAGAGAGGTGAGTCAAGGAAAAGACGGGCTCTTTTGGAACACTGAGGGGCCACAACCTTCCAGTGGGCTGGAGATTGTGCACTCAGGGAGCTGAAGATAGCAAAGGTGCAGGTCTTGCCTCTGGACTGTCTGCAGCTTTTCTGAGAGCATAAAAGGAGGGTGGGGCTCTCCAGGAGGCTCTGAGCAAGTGGAATGGCCCTGACCAGGGCTGAGGAATATTAAGGTATGTCACTTTTGTGTATGCTACATTTGTTTAACTCTATAAAGCTGTGATATTTGTTTGTTTTGCCTGTCCAAAACACCTGATAGTCTAATAAAGAGCTGAATGGCCAAAGCAAGACAGGAGCAAGGGTAGGTGGGGATAGCAGGTGAGGAGTATAAATAGAAGGAGAAATAAGGAAGAAAGAAGAGCAGCAAGAGAACAAGGAGAGGAGGATGCCAGGGGCCACCCTGCCAGCCAGCCAGCCACCCAGCCACCCAGCCAGCCAGCCATGGAGTAAGAAGAAAGTAAGGATACAGAAGTAACAACGATAAAAGTCCAGAGGGGAAAGGTAGATGGGTTAGTTTAAGAAAAACTGGCAAGAAACAAGCCATTTATAAGTAATAATAAGCTTCCTTGTGTTTTTGGGAGCTGGGTA